TCAGCGAATAAACCTGCCTTCTTCCTGTAGCTGCGCCGCGCCGCGCCGCGAGCCCAGAAAAGTCCCGTTATATTTACGTACCTGCATGAAAGCCATCTCTCTCGCGTGCAGCGAGTTTCCAAGTTTGAGATTCTATACGTTCCGCAGGCCCGTCGGCGCGTCTATCCTTCCGAAGTTCGGCGAGTTTTATCGTCTGATATGTACGAGACGCGTGGCGCGTCTGCTCGCAATTTACTCTCTCTCTCTCTCTCTCTCTCTCTCCCTCTCTCTCTCTCTCTCTCTCTCTCTCCCTCTCTCTCTCTCTCTCTCTCTCTCTCTCTCCAATTCTATACATATATATATATATATATCTCCCTCTCTCAAGTGAGCGAGCGAGCGAACGAGGAAGAGACAAAGTTACGAGCTCGTCTCGCTCGCTTCTCGTTGCGGCGATGCGAGATGTATTTTGCCGTATAATCCGACACGCTTCGTTAACTCGCTCTCAATCTCTCGCATCGATTACCTTAACCCGAGCTGTGTCTTCCCGCAGTTTCCAACACAATGTGCTTCAGTCATTGCGAATCGAACGTTGTCACGTTCAAGACGGTTGCGAAATCGCAGCGGCCGAGGGGGGGGGAGTGCTGCTAATGTGTCTGATAATTTTGCAGGAACGGGATGTGAACAGTCGACACAGTCATGGCGGACGGGCGCAAATAAAAAGTCATGATTTCATTTGGCGCTTCTGCCGATAAATATTCCGAGACCGCGTTTCTCTTCCTACCACGATTTTTCTCTTTAAAGTGATTCGTTGCAGCGCGCGTCGAAACTCTCGTACTAATATCTCGCGGAGTGAAATTTCATTGGCGGAATATTATCGCGTGACACCCGATAGTGTCCTCCGGCCATGTTTCCCAATTAATATTAGGTATACAAATGAATAATACAGATTTTTTAGCCAACTTAAAGATTTATTTTAAAAGAATGTAAAACAAATTTATTCAATCAAAGTATTCGCCGTTTTCTAATACTTTAAGCCATCTTTCAGGCAGCTGATGAATTTCAAAAGTCGGAAAAATGTTGTGTCTTTCGACACGATAAAGTTGTCAAGCCATTTTCGAACTTCATTCACTGATTTAAAGTGCGTATCGGACAAGGTGTGCTGCATCGACCGGAAGTGGTAATTGGTAGGAGCGATATCTGGTGAATATGTCGGGTGCTGCAAGACGCCCCAGCCAAGACTTATTATAATGTCTTTTGTCGTAGAAGCAATGTGTGGCCTTATCACGCAACAATTTCACAGGACGTGCTCCTTTGCCACTATACGGGCGTTTTCGTTCTAATTCTTCACTCAAACGGATTAATTGCTAACGAATCGCGGTAATTGTTTCATTCGGTTTTAATAGCTCATAATAAATCACGCCCTTTACATCCCACCAAATGCAGAACAGAATCTTCTTTTCGCAGTGTTTTGGCTTTGCGACCGATGTTGATGGTTCGCCAGGATTTACCCATGATTTTCTACGTTTCAGATTGTCATGGACTATCTACTTCTTATCGCCCGTAATAATTTTCCACAAGAAAAACTTTCTACCCTGCTTATTGAGAAGAGAAAGACACACTGCCGTTGATTTTTGCTGGCTTCAGTGAGTTCACGCGGAACCCATTTTCTTCTTTCTGAATCTTCCTCATCTCGTGTAGGCGTTTGGAAATAGTTTTTTTGCGTTGCTCCTAACTGCTCTGCAAGCTCTTTTTGCGTTTGTGCTGAATTCTCAGCGAGCAGTTGCTCCAAATCATTTTTGCCACACCGAGGGCCTCCAGGACGTTCTTTGTCACCCAGACTGAAATCGCCGCTTTTAAACCGTCTAAACCAAAATGCACACACATCGTACGATACAACACCTGCGCCGAGAAAGGAACAAATCGATTCGCGTGCTCTTGCAGAATTTTTTCTTTGTTAGAATTCGTAAAGAATGCAGTGTTGGATATGTTATTTGTTGCCATTTTTGACTGTATTGACCTGAATAATTTTTGAGGTCATTTTCAACCTTCCGCCATACTAAATGTAATTTTTAATAACTACTACCAATATGTCAACATACTACACAATTGTAAAAGAGCGGGAAAATTTGATCATTTGAAACCTAATTTCTTAGCCGCTTAAAAAAGTTTGGATCATTCATTTGTATACCTAATAAAATTCTGCCCTTGCGAAGGTCTCTCAACAGGCCGCGTAACAATTAACAGTTCGATACCGAGCCCTGGACGCTGCAAACGCCGTCGCTACTTTTGCCGTCGCGGCGTTTCTTTCTGCATCGAATCTTACAATCGACCCATTGTCGCGAGCCATTATTAGACGCCGGATTTTCGGCATTTTCGGCCCGATATCAGCAGCATTGGATTGCGACCAGACGATAAATCTGCGCGAAGTGTCCGATGAATTATGTACTTTATGAATATACTAAAATTTGTGAATTATTGCGGGCATACTAAACTTTATGAATGTACTAAAAGTTCGCCGTCGTTTCCATACCCGAATGTATCTCGACGCTTTCGGGCGATATGTTTTGCGCATTTCATCATATTACACGCGCGCGCGAGAAATATAAACACCAGATACCGAGAAGAATGGCGTTTGTTTCACGTTTATATGTCAATATTTCGCTCAGATGCAGCTGTTTGTCTTCGCAATCAGCGCGCGGTCATCGACGCTCGCCCCGAAAGGGTCGACCGGCGGCATGCGCGTCACACATTGTAGTGCGTTCGTGTCGCGTACTTGACACCTGACTCTCCTCCGGCGACACATTCGACCGACGAGCGCGCGTAACATTGTCACCGGTCCCCGTCAGAGAATTCGCCGCTCGTCGTTAACCCCGCGTAGAAATGTCCTGGCGGGGTAAAGTGCATTTTAAAGCTGAGACCATTCCGTTTCCGACGATAAAGCGATCGATCAATTCTGATGTACTGGGACGGTGATTTTATTTCCTCTCCGGCTGAAGATGAGCGCGCGATTGAAAAGGCAATTTCGATTTTTATTCGTAAAGAGCACAATCTTCCGTTTGGTGCACTATAAAAGTGAATTATGGTTTAATTTTTGCGAGCACTCCCATCCCCATTTCTCCCTCGCAGTTGCGCTGATATTGTAAAGAAATGCTCTTGGGTAATATGAACAAGATTGCACGTAATATGCAGAGAGATCGTGCATTATTGAAATATTAATATTACTATTGTGATAATTATTCGAAATAAGGCCTTTTACGAGTTTTGATATTTTCTGCGGTTTTCTTGATATAAAAATCTTTGTTGTGACTCTAACAGTGATGATCAATCGGTGCACATCGGGTAACGCTAATGTCGGCGATTTTCAAGCTTTAATATCTCATAGCTCAGAAAATTCTGAGAGAAATTCAACTCATTTGTAGTGTTTTGAAAAGGTCCTGATGCCAGCTACAAGAATCGGCAATAAAAAATAGGGATTTATATTTAAAAATTTCAATATGACCTTTACACAACCTTGGGATTGTCAGGCAAGATCAAACAGACTTTATCGTTTTGTGTCTTCCTCAAAACCAAACAATTTTTATTCTAAATATTTTTTTTTCTAAAACGCGACATATATTTGAGTATATATATATTTTTCTTTAAATAGGACACCCTGTATATTTTACTTAACATAGAGCTCTTGCTAATCTCTTTCAGTAGTATTGTTTTGTTTGTACTTTTGTTTTCAAGCACATACAAAATCAGTCCTTTTAAGAGCCATTATATATTTTTAACCTTGGCGGATCTGGAAAGTTACGTTGGAAAGAAATAGTTAAAAAAAGTATATATAGATGATATCTTTTCCAGGCTTCCCGATCGATTATCACTATTAGAGTCACAATAAGAATTTTTACCGCAAAAAAATATCAAAATTTGAAAAAGGCATTATTCCGAATAATTATCACTATTATTAATATTATTATTACATTAAGATTGCACATTAATAATATGAACACACCGCGGAAGTGGACTTTTAGTTGATCGCTAATAATGGCTCATAACTGGGTAGCGAATTTTGGACCAACGATCGAAAGTCGTAGATCGACTTTTACTAGGCTAAATAAAAAATGCACGATCAACGCTTTCGGCGAATTTTCGACAAATAATGGACTGATACGTGTCTGACGAGGTCGTAGATCCGTTAAAATTTCTCAATTACCGAAGTTCGCGGAAGACATCGTGTTTACTTTGGATCGACCTAACATCGGAAGTCACCGCCTTCATAAGCGGATTCTTTCGATGGACGATGCGCCCTTGCAGCCCTTTCTTTTGCGCGCGAGTTCTCCGGAATGTTTGTCGGATCGCCCATAAGTCACGCGCTCGACATTCATACACATGGCTATTCCTCGCCGTTGCGAAAACGCTCTTTTTCCTCGCAGACGATTTTTATTTTCGAAAGTGAGGAAAGATTCCAGACGGCGGAAACGAACTCGCGACTTTCCGCTGGGACAGAAAAAGACTTCATACTTGTTTCCGCAGTGAGGCAAGATTTTAGCCGCGTTGTCTCTTTTTCTCAAAATAGCAACGACCTTGAAAGTATCCTCGCGAGAGTTTCCGATTTCGGCGAGCGAGTCCCGTCACGAAGTAAGGTAAATGTCCCAGGCGTTTAAGCGTAGGTCGTCACAAAAGATACAATATATAATATTAAGAATACTTTTGACATAAATATTTGCATTTATTCAAACACTTAAAATTCCCTTAAGTAGAGAAAAATGATTTAAACCAATGTATATATCTATTATTAATGAAATATTTACATAAGTAGTGGAAGCGTATTAATGTACCAGTGAGCGGACAGTTGAAATAAGTTATGGCCCAATGTTCGGATATATTTGTTCCAGTGTCTGACTGCAATTAGAAAATTAGTATGTACTAGCGGGGAATAATATAAATATAAATGCTATCTCTCAATAAATTTATTAACGATCGATTATTATTTTGCCAAACCATAGGTGCTTATTTATTATACTTATTTAATTAATTTTTATTTTGACATAAATGTATCTAATTGGATATATCTTTTTCCAACTAATCATCAAATATTGGAGTTCTTTTTTACAACTATTACTTTCATTCATTATTGTTAAAATAAATAGTAAATATTTTTTTCCAAAGGGATCGGATACTGGGACGTGTCCAACCATTGGGACGTTTACCTCATCGGCGGAAGAACTCTCGTCTGTCTCTTGCGGTAGAATTGGCGCGAACGAGTGGTTAAAAAATATCGTTACCTTCTGTCAAAAAAGAAACAATTCCAAAAGACAATTATAATTGTCTGAAATAAGAATGATAATTATCATTCTTATTTCACACACAATTCTTCCGATACGAATGAAAGAAGTTGAATCTCGGTCTGCGAATCTCATCGCGTGCGCGGAATTCGATATACTTAACGGCACGGCCAATCATTCACCGATACGTCTACCCCTTCCGACCAGTGCAGTTCCTCAGTTCGCGTCTCACAAGCGACGACGCCGCGGCAATTGGATCCTCCGCGACGCAGCGGACGCCTCCCAATCGCGGCGTGACAACGAAACGGGGCGACACAACGAGAGGGAGAGAGGAGCGTCTCGCGGCGCGAACTCACGCTGAGATTCCGCTACTTTTACAGGGCGGACGTGTCGAATGTGCGTCGCAGCGAGTCGGATCCCCGGAGACAAAACCGCGAGACACAGAAGCTCACGAAGCGGTGGTTCTCGTGTGGGAGTTAGGCGACCGGCGCGCGTTAAGTTTCGCACATTCAACCGGGCGGAGTGCATAGCGTCGGCTAGAATATCATCCAAAGAAGTAGGACGACCGGAAGCGACGTCGCGGCCATTCTGTCGCCGTCGCCGTGATGCATTGCCGCTGGGTGTTCGTCTGAAACAAACGCCACGCTATAATGCCGTTTCGCTCGGGCGGCTCTTAGCAGGTGGTATTTAGAGCGACGCTTCGGCGCTGCTGAGAGAGCGCGGGCTCTCGCTTTGCTCGAAGCTGTGTCGCGCTCCACTCGACCGGCTACAAGCTAAGCGTTTTCAGCGAGAAGACTCTTCCCGTGTACTCGAGGAGGCGGCTTGATGTTCTCTCTCTCTCTCTCTCTCTCTCTCTCTGTCTCTCTCTCTCTCTCTCTCTCTCTCTCCTCTCTCTCTCTCTCTCTCTCTCGACAGCGCTCCCGAGATCACCGCCGATATCGCGATCAATTAACTGTTTTGTGCGCCACGCGCTGATGCGCTGGCTTGAGAGATTGATGATTCCAAGCGCGAACCGTTCGATCGATCGACGGCCGATTCGATCGTGCAAAAATCCTCCGGTTTTCACCGGAGACTTTCGCTATTCCGACTAGTTCTGAGGGACTTTTCGCAAAAGAAAAAAAAAACACATTTATTTCAGGGAGACGGGAGGGGGTTAAGTTATATTTTATTCGAAATATTTTCCATCACTTGCTATAACTTTTTGCCGCTTTCCTGCCAATTGGTGAATTCCACCATGATAAAAAAATGTTCTTTTTCTCAAGCAATCCATATTCATCGAGCCATTTTTTTTTTATTTATTCATGTTTTGAAGTGTTGCTCAGCAAGCCCGAGATGCATCGATCGAAATAAGTGATAATCTGGTGGAAACGCGGCGTGTGACCTTTCATCTTTCAGGTAAAACTTTTCATCGAAACGCCGATGAGATATCTTCACCTGTTTTTGCAAAGTGTGGTCGAGCATTGTCGCGCAACAAAACCGCTGATTTTGACAATGCCGCGAGTTGAGGCTGATGAAGACCAAATAAAGGCATTGGAGGATGCAAGTCGTCATTTAACAACACGAGAAAGTGCTGAGAGATTAAATTTATTGAATTCGACCGTGCATGAACATTTGAAACAACCTGGTTTCGTTTCAAAGTTCGATATTTGAGTTCCACATGTTCTCAAAGAAAGAGATTTGATTCGTCGCATTACCATCTGCGATTTGCTGTTGAAATGTGAGAAAAACGATCCATTTCTGAAGCGACTCACAACTGGAGATGAAAAATGGATTGTGTACATTAATATTAAACGCAAAAGATCATGGAGCGGACGTGATGAACTACCTTAAGGCACATCGAAAGCTGATATCCATCAAAAGAAGGTAATGCTCTCTGTTTGATGAGATTGGAAAGGAATGATTTTTTTGAGCTGCTATCAAACAACCAAACGATTGATTCGAATGTGTATTGTCATCAATTGAACAAATTGAATGATTCCATTGAGCAGAAGAGATCAGAATTGACGAAAAGGAGAGGTATTATATTTCATCATGACAGATCTTGCACAAGTTTAATGACTTTAATGAGAAGCTGTTACCGCATTCATCATATTCGTCTGATCTGGCATCATCCGATTATCACTTGTTTCGGTCACTGCAAAATTCTTTGGATGATAAAAATTTCGATTCAAACGAAGGTGTCAGAAACTATTTGACTCAGTTTTTTACCAATAAGGATCATAAGTTCTACGAACGTGGAATCATGTGATTATCTCAAAGATGGCAAAAGGTGTTAGAACAAAATAGTCAATATTTAACGGAATAAAACTTTTCTTTCTATTAAAAATATCGTCTTTCATTTTCATGCAAAAAACCGAAATTACTTTCTGAACAAACCAATATTTCTGCTTACAAATTGGTTTCAGCTTTAATTTTGTAATATTAGGCAGAGAAATGGATTGATCAGCTGCTCAATTACGGGACATATCTGGGCGAGTTTAAGGGGACTGAAGGGTCAGATTACTGAAAAATCGTGCTTGTTCTTGATAATGATTTTGTGACGAATTGAATAAATGTGCAAGAATGAAAATTTTACATATATTTATATAACATATGAAGAGTAGAAAAATTTTGTTTTTTTAACAAATACTCATATAAATATACGTCCACTTAAATTTTAAACGCGTTTTTCTTGAAATTTTGTTGTTCAACTTTTTGCAGTGATTTCTCCGAAACTGAGCTTCGTATCGATTTGAAATTTTAAAGCAATAATATTTGTTCCTGTGGCTCTCAAGTGAACCATGGACAACTCTGTCAAAATATTTCATTTCGGGATATTAATCTTTTTATTGTAAAAGAACTGAAAAACTTGAATTTTTTCCTAATAATAGCTGCCATTTTGTTAGTTTTGTTCGATTTTTTTTCTAGTGGTTCACCGGATAATGATAAACCTCCTCAAGATTTCTAGTTAAAATTCGCTCTGACCGGACCGCCGAGAGCCGAGATATTACTGCAAAAACGATAACGTGAAAAAAAAGGAGAGTATATTTCAGCTATATAAATCGTATATTTATACGAGTATTTGTTAATAAACAAAATTTTTCTAGTCTTCATATATTAACTATACCTAAATAACTATACCTAATATAACTATACCTAAAATTTTCATTCTTGCACATTTGTTCAGTTCGTCAGAAAATATTATCAAAAACAAGCACGATTTTTCAGCAATCTGACCCTCCAGTCCCCTTAAGGCCTGCCAACCTTATAGCTGAAACTAAAATTTCCAAGACTAATTTCGAGACAGGCCCTACAGTGAGCCCTCAGAATTAACCGGAGCGCCTAATAATTTCGTTCTTCGACAGAGACAGCCTCGGTTTGCACTTTCGTCCGTCCGTATCGCGATTTGTTACCGACGGTTCCCAAGGGTCGCATTTTCTCCGCGATGAACTTCATTCTACGTTACGCTCTCCTCGAAGCACGTGTCTTCGTGGCGGAGAAGCAGGGACGATGGTGTCGCATCGCGATTCGTTACCGGCGATAAGAGCCGCCGGGAGAAGTATCATTCGTTTTGCTAGCGTCTCCGCTAGCGTGTGTCCACTTTCGGTCTAAATGGCATTCCGCGCGACGGCGAGCCGGCTACGACCCGAGTGCCTGCACGTAGGGCCCGTTCGTAAGCGGAATTGGCATTTTTCCTTTACCGTTGACTATGTGGACCCGCACGCTGTTAGGATGAGTGTTAGTGGGCGAGCACGTGTAAAGGCCGGAGTCTTTCTCGATCGCCTTCTGAATGAGTAAACGGCTCGAAGTCACAGGTCCCTTTTCCGTTAGCAGGTTGATGCCGCCCCTCGGTGAGTCGAAGTTAATCGCCTGCGAAAGAAGGAGGATAAAAAGCACGTCGACTTACTCGCCCCTGACGTGACCGGCTACAGATGGGGCTACTCTGCAGGCGAGGGCGGGAGGAGGGAAGGAAGCGCGGAACGTGTTCGCCGTGCGGTGGAGGGATGCTCTTTCTCTCCGGGACATTTTCCTTTTTTTTTTTTTCTAAGCGCAATGACGTTCATTTCCGCCGCCCTCCCGTCGCTATAAAACATGCGACGGCGCCCGCTGCGATCGCACTTGCGAAAATCTCCGGGATACTCTGACGACGTCGTAAACAAACGTGAGATCCGAAATGAATCTGGCAACGCTCTCGCGTCGCCTTGGAAGCTCGACTTGTCGTTAGGTATTCGCGACGATCGTCCGAGCGTCGGGAGAAAAAAACGTCTCGCTGGTAACAGAAGGATTTTGTTGAGCTTCGATTCAACGGAAGGATCTTTCACTTCAGAGAGAGAGAGAGAGAGAGAGAGAGAGAGAGAGAGAGAGAGAGAGAATGCGATCGCTGCCGTTCTCGATGTTTCGCCTGCAAAACTCACGCGCGCGTTATTATCTTCGTTTCTCCAAATCCATCATGATGAAATTACAATGGCAAATACTCTCGTTGAATTTCATCGTAATCAGTAATTAATGGATCGGTCAGTTGAATAGATCATTATGTATGATTGTTTTAAATTTCGTTATATGGGGCAGAATTCATTACATTAATGAATTAATTATGTTTGATTAATAACAGCCGAGTCACGATCGCTCCAACTAGTGAACGGTGCGTGCGCAGGCGTTGAAAACGCTCCAACAATAATTTCTTGACGATCTTCACGTGCGCCACGTGCAAAACATCAAAATGAATAAACGTGGGCGTCTAAATTTCGCCGTAACAAGAAATAAATAAACGTCGAAGCAAACCGACGTCCAAAGTTCACCGTAACGAGAAATAAATAAACGGCAAAACAAATTAACGTCTAAATTTCACCGCAACGAGAATAAGAAAAAAAAAAAGAAAGAAAAAAAAGAGAAAAATGGAACATTGGCAGAATGCGGTAGGAGAGTCGCGGTTAATGCGGAGAGGCGGCGCGGCGTTGCATTCGTCGTTGCGGTCTTTCTCAAGATCCAACGCTGAGCGCAATTGTCGCGGACAATCGCGATGTAAGTATGAATAATTAGCCGGCTCGGTAGTTAATTACTTGCTCACGCTGGAGAAGCGCGCCGTTCCGTCTGTCAGTGACGTGACTGAATGAGGTTTAAGGCACTTTGTGAGAGGCGGACGAGGCAAAAGTGGCGACTGTAGGTGTCTCCCCCGAGTGGCAGAAAGCGTTTCGAGACGAGTTCCCGCCGAAAGCACGACTTGAGGCGACGTCTATGCGAGCGTCTCGGTTGTGCCGCTTGTATGTATACGTTCGCAGAAATAAGCGCTGTCGCGGAACAAGACCGATATCACGCAGATATTTGTCCGCTGAAAATTTATCCGACCGCCAACTTAAATCACACAGACAGACACATCCGGAAATTTTGGCGATGCGCTTGAGCAGCTGATTCGAATAAACGAATGGCGAGTTGCCGCTCGACCGAGACATCGCCGCGTGGAGGAATAATTACTTCATTCCGCGGAGAAAAGCGGGCCTTTTAATTGCGACGTCGTCGATCGAAGCGTGCAAATACATTAACTCATCAACCACGGGGAGAGCATGTCGCGCTGTCGGCGTCTTCCATAAATATCGCTCGAAGGAGCGGCGGCGCGCTACCGGCGATAATCGATAGACGCGGCGGGTCGATGGAGGCTCGTATAAAGCTGCAGACTCTCCCTCTCCTTCTCTCTCTCTCTCTCTCTCTCTCTCTCTCTCTCTTCCTTTGCTTTTTCCGTTTTTCTTTTAACGACTGCGAGAAACATGAGAAATGTTTCTGTTTGTACCAATGTCAGCGTCCCGCTTGCGAGCCGACGAGGGTTATGAAATTCAGATGGATTTCAGTTGAAAGCGTCCTCGTGACGCGAGTTGCAGACGCGCGATTGCGGCCGCGGTAACTTTCAGTAACGCGGCAAGCGCGGGTCATTCGCGAGTCGCAAGATCCGCTTACCTGGTGGTTGTGACTCCAAATGATCGTCGACGGCGGCTCGGGCGCGAATCTCACGTAGCAGGTCAAATTTATCGTGCTGTCCTTGTTGATGAACAGATCCGGGCCACCTGCTATCTCCGTCACGGGCTCTGTAACGAAAGCAGATGTTCGCGCGTGCGTATGGCGTTTTTTTGCGTTTGCTTTCAATTTTCTTTGATTTCTCTCTATTGGGTTGTTCGGAAAGTAATTTCGGCTCTTTGCATGAAAATGAAAAATAATTTTTTTCATAGAAAGGAGAGTTTTATTTTGTTAAGTATTGATCATTTTGTCCTAACACCTTTTGCCATCTTTGAAGTAATAACACGATTCCACGCTTCGTACAACTTCTGGTCCTTATTGGCAAAAAATTGAATCAAGTGGTTTTTGACACTTTCATTTGAATCGAAATTTTTTTCATCCAAAGAATTTTGCAGTGACCGAAACAAGTGATAATCGGATGGTGCCAGATCAGACGAATATGGTGGGTGCGGTAGCAAATCCCATCCTAGCGCTAACAGCTTCCGGCGAGTCATTAAACTTGTGCGAGGTCTGGCGTTGTCATGATGAAACATAACACCTTTTCTTTTCGTCAATCCTGATCTCTTCTGCTCGATGGAATCATTCAATTTGTCCAATTGATGGCAATACACATTCGAATCAATCGTTTGGTTGTTTGGTAGCAGGTCAAAAAAACCATTCCTTTTCAGTCCCACCATATAGAGAACATCATCTTCTTTTGATAGATATCAGCTTTCGAGTCCTTCATATCAGTGTCTTGAGGTAGTTCATCACGTCTGCTCCATAATCTTTAGCGTTTAATCACAATCCATAATATATATAATTAATGTACACAATCCATTTTTCATCTCCAGTTATGAGTCGCTTCAGAAATGGATCGTTTTACTCACGTTCCAACAGCAAATCGCAGATGGTAATGCGACGAATCAGATCTCTTTCTTTGAGAACGTGTGGAACCCAAATATCGACCTTTAAAACGAAACCGGAAGTTGATTCAAATGCTCATGCACGGTCGAATTCGATAAATTTAATCTCTCAGCAATTTCTTTACTTGATCTTCATCAGCCTCAAGAGCCCTTTCAGAACGTGATGCATCTTTGAGATCGAAATTTCCAGAACGAAATTTCGAAAACCAATTCTAACACCGGCGTTCAGTCAACATATCTTCTCCATACACGGCACACAATTTTTTTCTTGCTTGCGTCACATTTTTGCTTTTACGATAATAGAAAAGCAAAATGTGACGGAAATGCTCACATTGATTTTTCATTTTTGATGCAACGCCAAACAAAAACAACTTGACAGATTCCACAACAACTTTATTTTCAAATGAAGCTTGAAATGTTTGTTGTAAAAATGTAAAATGATTTTCTGGCTCAGAATGAGGTTAACTGTTTAAAAAGGCAACTGATACCATCTATTTGAAAAAAACCGAAGTTACTTTCCGAACGACCCAACGTATCGCTCGAGAACCGTCTATTAGCGGGAACGCTGCAAAACGCCCTCTTATCTTGCCGGGCAACAAAGGCGTTTTGCAATGTGGATTGATCGACGAGTCCGTCTCGCCGAGGAGGATTGCCGCGAAAATGATCAACAATTAAATTCGCCCATAATTCTCCCGCGCTCGAACAGCCGAAATGGCCGCTTTCTGGTCGCACATTTTTCCGCGCGATCTTTTCGCAGAGAACAGGGCGAGCAAAAGAAAAAAAAAAAAAACTTGACAGCCGAAATGAAACGCAATAACCGCACGGAGGAGCGCGGTCGCTCGGAATTATACTCGCATTATTTCGCAGGGAAGCGGACCTTCCCCCGGCGAGGAAGTACCGGCGGAATCAATTCCGGATGATTGGGAGTTCCCGTCCGAGAGACTCGCTTTGTATGCGACCGGGAGGAAAGCACCGAGCCACGAGATGTACGGATTCTTCGGAGGCGCTCCCGTCCTCGAACCGGTTAAAGATACATCGACATCCCTCCCGCCGCGATACCGCGGCCGTGTCTCGAGGCGTTAAAAGCCCGCTTAATTTCTGCGAGGGCAATGCCGGCGTGTCCGGAATTTTTCTCCCGAGCCGCGCTCGTAAGAATCAACGACCGTGGCAACGTGTACGTAGCGCCGCGGAAACGTGTTTCTCGCTCTCCCTCTCTCTCTTCCTCTCTCTCTCTCTCTCTCTCTCTCTCTCTCTCTCTCTCTCTCTCTGTCTCTCTCGCTCTCTCGCCTTGGCGTTGTTGCCGTGAAATCTTGTTGCTGGAAATACCAGCGCGGCGAATCCCCGCGGCCGCGGCCGCACGGCGGATCGTTACAGTCCGTGCCGGCCGAGATTCTCCAAGTTTCTCGGATTCCTATTGGCGGATCTCAATTATCCGACAAACCAGTTTCGAGACTTCCTCCTCCGTTCGCTGACCGACTTGCGAGCGGACAGTCTGCTGCGGCGGCGACGGCGGCGCTGGGAAATCTTCATTTCCCGCCCAGGAACAGCAGAGCGAGCGTGTCTCGCCGAGGCTTATTAGCGGCTCTTCGTCGAGGACGCCGAGGACGGCTCTCGCGCTGTCCTCCTTGTCCTCGCGCATTTCCCCGACGCCGCTTGTTCCCGCTCGACGGATCGCGCGCGACTTCTCGATGGAGTGGAAATACGGCCTGGATTTGTCGCGAGGAACCAGACAATCCGAGACTCCTGCTGTCTCTCGTCATTAACGCGGCGCGAGAGCGCGCGTCGCTCCGCGTAATAACACCGCGTCGAGGCTTACCCCGCTCGCGTGTTATTTGCGAAGCTTACGACCTTAGCGAGGACGGTCGTTAGACGAAATCGCTCCGGCGCGCCACCGATACGACACAGTTTCGCCAGGCCTTCCGCCTGATTCACCCTCGCTGCGCCCTTGTTGCTCTCTCCCCTCTCTCCCCCCCACCCCCCTCCCTGCCACCCTTCGGAGTTTACTCGAGAGTCAGTGCGCTGATAAGAATTCGGCTTTCCAGACGAATTTAGAGAGCGCTCGTTAGCGATCATACATTTCGGGCGTTTCACTCGAGGCTACGGTTGCTGCTGTTCGACGGAGGGAGGGAGGGAGGGAGGGAGACCGCTGTGTGTTCTTCGTAAAACAAGATTGCTCCCTGTGTGTTCTTTAGTCGTCTCGCGACTACACCGGGCTCGGCGACTCGGGGACGCAATTCTCTTCGGCACGTTACTCGTACGGGCGACGGCGTGCTATTGTCACCACTCGGCTGAAGTTGCGGGTAACAGAGAGACCGGCTGGGTAGATGGGCGGGTGGATGGCTGGGCGGTTGGCTCTCCTCGCTCTCGCCGTCGTCTGGAGAGAGCCCAGGAGAGCGCGCGCGCGCGTGTGAGAGAGAGAGAGAGAGAGAGAGAGAGAGTGAGTACGAGCGTCGTTAAGATACGACGTTAACGAGAGCGTGCGAGGAGCCCGTCGTTAGTTTCGAGAGAGAGGGTTGAAGCGCGTTTTTGCGACGCTAACGACGTCACGCCGAAATGAAGATCCCGCGATATTCCGGAATTCCCGTTGACGCGTGGCTCCATTGCGCGACAACTATTCTAACCCGGCTCGCCCCCTCGCCTTCGCATTCGTCAGTGGACATGGTCCGTCGTTGGCAAGCCGGAGGGACAAGGAGAGAGAGAGAAAGAGAGAGAGAGAGAGAGGGGGGGGAGAAGAGAGGGTTTCATTTTCTACTCGGGAGATACGTCCCTGGACGACTCGGCGAATGCTGCTCTTCGCGAGCATTCCGAAGAGAGACGCCGGACGCCAGTCGTTTTACGATGCGCTGCAGGTATCTCGAGAATTCGACGACTCCTCGCGTAGACGGTGGCGCCTATTAAGAGGGACGATCGGTCATCCCGGCGGTCGAGCGCAGCTGGTCCGACGGGATCGACGGGCCCGTGAGGAATTCGCCCGATTACCGGCGGGCTGTACGACGAAAAAGCGAGAAACCGCGAGTCGAGTGACCGGCGCGAATGATCGACGGTCGCGTTTAAACAAAAATACCGAGCGCAATAGCGCCGTTCGCGCAAACTCGTCGGGGATTATTCATCCCGCGCGGAACGGAACGTTTCAGAAATCGCTGGACCGTGCGCGGAGGAGATATCCGGCGAGCGAGCCGAGTGTTAACTCGCGGTAATAATTAATAACGGTTTATCCGACGTTAATTTATGATAATTACGCCGTGTGCGGCGTTACGCAGTTACCGTAAATTACGCTCTTCTTTCTCCTTTTTCACTTTCCTCTTTCCTCCCTTTCTTTTTTCATTTTTCACCACGAGAGCAAACGGTGCACGCGCGCCGGCTTATCGCAAATATATTCATAAAGCATTATGCATAAGAAATGTCTTACACTCCCGACGTTGAGGGCGCTCTTTGAGACCCCCAGGTTAAGATCTCCCAGACACCCTTGACATTCCCCGTTGCTCCTCTTGACCGCGACGCGGACGCGTACGTCGACGGAATATTTCTAAATTTCAGCTAAGGGAGAAAGTCGGGAGAGAAGGAGAGAGAAGAGAGAGAGAGAGTGAGAGAGAGAGAGCGCCGGCCGCCGCCTTTAACCAAGCGCCATCGATCCCCCCTCTCCCTCGACCTTTGATCGATCGCCCCGTTGCCTCGGGCCGGAGTAGAAATAAATCGAGGGCGAACCGCGTACGTGGCCCGACCGCGACTTTGTCCGCAATTGAATCGCCACTCCGCCTTGTTGGCCGCAAAAAAGACTAACAAGCGGGGCAGATAGTAAATCGGCGCTTCCTCTGCGAAATACGCTCCTATAAGGGGATGTGAGCCCCCTCGCCCCCTCACTGCCGCGCCGGCGGCCCGTCGAACGAGAATTGCGGGTCATCCGACACCGCGATCGCTTTTGTATCGTTACCAGATGGCTTGTTACCCTTTGACACCGGGCGAGAGAGCGAGAGACCGTTCTGCCTTCCCCCGCGCTCGCGCATGTGTGTGTGTTTGATATACGCGTTTCGTACTTCAATCCTACAACTTTAACCGCCCGCTACTCGTTCAAGATATCCGCATTGCTGCTACGTCAGCTTTCGCAGCGGAGATCGCGCGAGAGAGAAGTCGAGAGAGAGAGAGAGAGAGAGAGAGAGGGGGGGGAG